TATGCCCGTGACCTTGGCTTGAGCTGGCACTTGATTTACCAGCATCACATGGAGAAGATCATAGCAAAATTCGGTTGCCTGGAGAAATTCATCGCAATGGTTCAGCAATTCCATGATGGTATGCTCCCGCGCATTGTGGACAACAAGTCACCTGAACCATTCCCAGGCACCTATGGAGTCAAGCAGGGCTGTGTGTTGGCCACAACTCTCTTCAGTATGTTCTCTACCATGCTTACAGATGCCTTTCATGACTGTTACACAGGGATTCACATCAGATACTGGACTGATAGCCAGCTCTTCAATTTGAGGAGACTACAGGAAAAGACAAAGATACAAGAAGTGATTGTTTTTGATCTTCTCTTTGTTGATGACTGTTCCCTGAATGCCAAATCTGAGTCTGACATGCAGCAGAGTATGGACTGTTTCTCTTCAGCTTGTGACAACTTTGGTCTCATAATTATCATCGAGAAGACAGAAGTGATGTACTAGTCTGCACCAAGAAACTCTTATGTACAGCCTACTATCCAGTGAATGGCCAAACCCTCCAGGCAGGGACAAGTTCACTTACCTCGGCAGTACGTACTCACGTGCAGTTCATATGAATGATGAAAACAACGTCAGAATTTCCAAAGCAAGTGTGGTCTTTGGCAGACTACGTGCAAACGTGTGGGAGCACAGAGGCAATAGTCAACAAACAAAACTGAAGGTATACAAAACCATCACGTTTCCAACTCTGACGTTGAAGTGACCTTATGCAACCTCTCTCTTGCCTTCTTTATGAAGTAAGGGCATGATAGTTCCCAGCCTCCTGAGTTACGGGTGAGTTAAAAAAAGCCGGCGCTCCGCGAACCAGCTGAGCGGCGGGGAACCAGCTGAGCAGCGGGGGAAAGCAGAGCAGCAAACAGCAGGAGTTTGCCTGGGAGTTCACCTGCAGTGAGCCCACTGAGGCTTACACCCTAACGACTTCTCTGAGTAATTACTGCATCTCCTGAGGAAGCTCATAGTAGGAAGGTAATATGGATGGGGAGTGTTCAACTGTTGTGACCTGCACTGGATGTGCCATGTTTGTCTTTCTTCCAGAGGACAGAAGCGACTTTGTCTGTACAAAGTGCAAGCTGGTCTCAATATTGGAAGAGAAGGTTCAAGGTCTGGAGCAACAGGTATCGACCCTGCGTTGCATAGGAGAAACTGAAGATTTCCTGGACAGATGTCAGGATATGCTTCTACAGGCACAAGGTTCTGAAGATTCAGAGCAGGCTGCGCAGCACGGACAGGAGGACAGTGAAGAAATCTGGCAACATGTGACCTCCAGAAGAAGAAGGGGGAACGTCCATGTACCAGCAACGCGAACACAGGTAAGTAACCGTTTTCATGTTCTCTCCACAGGTACCATTGCGGGGAGTGGCCCAGATGATACGTCTGGGGGAAGGGAGCAGAAGGAGACTCCACCAGTTGAAAGGCATGAGATGCCCTGTGCTAAGGTTGGGGGTTCCACGACCACAACTCCCAAGAGAAGGAGGCAGGTTGTGGTGGTCAGGGACTCTCTCCTCAGGGGGACTGAGTCATCTATCTGCCGCCCTGACCGGGAAAACAGAGAAGTCTGCTGCTTGCCAGGGGCTAAGATTCGCAATGTGATGGAGAGTCTGCCAAGACTCATCAAGCCCTCGGACCACTACCCCTTCCTGCTTTTCCATGTGGGCACCAATGATACTGCCAAGAATGACCTTGAGCGGATCACTGCAGACTACGTGGCTCTAGGAAGGAGGATAAAGGAGTATGAGGCGCAAGTGGTGTTCTCGTCCATCCTCCCCGTGGAAGGAAAAGACCAGGGTACGGATCGTCGCATCGTGGAAGCCAATGAATGGCTATGCAGGTGGTGTCGGAGGGAAGGCTTTGGATTCTTCGACCATGGGATGGTGTTCCAAGAAGGAGGAGTGCTAGGCAGAGACGGGCTCCACTTAACGAAGAGAGGGAAGAGCATCTTCGCGAGCAGGCTGGCTAACCTAGTGAGGAGGGCTTTAAACTAGGTTCACTGTGGGAAGGAGACCAAAGCCCTGAGGTAAGTGGGGAAGCGGGATACCCGGAGGAAGCACGAGCAGGAGTGTGTGAGAGGGGAGGGCTCCTGCCTCATACTGAGAACAAGGGGTTATCAGCGGGTTATCTCAAGTGCCTATATACAAATGCACAAAGCCTGGGAAACAAGCAGGGAGAACTGGAGGTCCTGGCAAAGTCAGAGAATTATGATGTGATTGGAATAACGGAGACTTGGTGGGATAACTCGCATGACTGGAGTACTGTCATGGATGGATATAAGCTGTTCAGGAAGGACAGGGAGGCCAGAAAAGGTGGGGGAGTTGCACTGTATGTAAGGAAGCAGTATGACTGCTCAGAGCTCAAGTATGAAACTGCAGAAAAACCTGAGAGTTTCTGGATTAAGTTTAGAAGCCTGAGCAACAAGGGTGATGTCGTGGTGGGAGTCTGCTATAGACCACTGGACCAGGGGGATGAGGTGGACGAGGCTTTCTTCCGGCAAGTCGCAGAAGCTACTAGATTGCACGCCCTGGTTCTAATGGGCGACTTCAATCATCCTGATATCTGCTGGAGAGCAATACAGCGGTGCACAGACAATCCAGGAAGTTTTTGGAAAGTGTAGGGGACAATTTCCTGGTGCAAGTGCTGGAGGAACCAACTAGGGGCAGAGCTCTTCTTGACCTGCTGTTCACAAACCGGGAAGAATTAGTAGGGGAAGCAAAAGTGGATGGGAACCTGGGAGGCAGTGACCATGAGATGGTCGAGTTCAGGATCCTGACACAAAGAAGAAAGGAAAGCAGCAGAATACGGACCCTGGACTTCACAAAAGCAGACTTTGACTCCCTCAGGGAACTGATGGGCAAGATCCCCTGGGAGAATATCATGAGGGGGAAAGGAGTCCAGGAGAGCTGGCTGTATTTTAAAGAATCCTTATTGAGGTTACAGGGACAAACCATCCTGATGTGTTGAAAGAATAGTAAATATGGCAGGCGACCAGCTTGGCTTAACAGTGAAATCCTTGCTGATCTTAAACACAAAAAAGAGGCTTACAAGAAGTAGAAGATTGGACAAATGACCAGGGATGAGTATATAAATATTGCTCGGTCATGTGGGAATGGAATCAGGAAGGCTAAATCACACCTGGAGCTGCAGCTAGCGAGGGATATTAAGAGTAACAAGAAGGGTTTCTTCAGGTATGTTGGCAATAAGAAGAAAGCCAAGGAAAGTGTGGGCCCCTTACTAAATGAGGGAGGCAACCTCGTGACAGAGGATGTGGAAAAAGCTAACATACTCAATGCTTTTTTTGCCTCTGTCTTCACGAACAAGGTCAGCTCCCAGACTACTGCACTGGGCAGCACAGCATGGGGAGGAGGTGGCCAGCCCTCTCTGAAGGAAGAAGTGGTTCGGGACTATTTAGAAAAACTGGACGTGCACAAATCCATGGGGCCGGATGCGTTGCATCCGAGAGTGCTAAAGGAATTGGCGGATGTGATTGCAGAGTCATTGGCCATTATCTTTGAAAACTCATGGCGATCGGGGGAAGTCCCAGAAGATTGGAAAAAGGCTAATGTAGTGCCCATCTTTAAAAAAGGGAAGAAGGATGATCCTGGGAACTACAGGCCGGTCAGCCTCACCTCAGTCCCCGGAAAAATCATGAAGCATGTCCTCAAGGAATCAATTCTGAAGCACTTAGATGAGAGGAAAGTGATCAGGAACAGTCAGCATGGATTCACCAAGGGAAAGTCATGCCTGACTAATCTAATTGCCTTCTATGATGAGTTAACTGGTTCTGTGAATGAAGGAAAAGCAGTGGACGTGTTATTCCTCGACTTTAGCAAAGCTTTTGACATGGTCTCCCACAGTATTCTTGTCAGCAAGTTAAAGAAGTATGGGCTGGATGGATGCACTACAAGGTGAGTAGAAAGTTGGCTAGATTGTCGGGCTCAGCGGGTAGTGATCAATGGCTCCATGTCTAGTTGGCAGCCGGTATCTAGCAGAGTGCCCAAAGGGTCGGTCCTGGGGCTGGTTTTGTTCAATATCTTCATTAATGATCTGGAGGATGGTGTGGATTGCACCCTCAGCAAGTTTGCGGATGACACTAAACTGGGAGGAGTGGTAGATACGCTGGAGGGTAGGGATAGGATATAGAGGGACCTAGACAAATTGGAGGATTGGGCCAAAAGAAATCTGATGAGGTTCAACAAGGACAAGTGCAGAGTCCTGCACTTAGGACGGAAGAATCCAATGCACCGCTACAGAGTAGGGACCGAATGGCTAGGCAGCAGTTCTGCAGAGAAGGACCTAGGGGTGACAGTGGACGAGAAGCTGGATATGAGTCAACAATGTGCCCTTGTTGCCAAGAAGGCCAATGGCATTTTGGGATGTATAAGTAGGGACATTGCCAGCAGATCGAGGGACGTGATCGTTCCCCTCTATTCGACATTGGTGAGGCCTCATCTGGAGTACTGTATCCAGTTTTGGGCTCCACACTACAAGAAGGATGTGGATAAATTGGAGAGAGTCCAGCGACGGGCAACAAAAATGATTAGGGGACTGGAACACATGAGTTATGAGGAGAGGCTGAGGGAACTAGGATTGTTTAGTCTACGGAAGAGAAGAATGAGGGGGGATTTGATAGCTGCTTTTAACTACCTGAAAGGTGGATCCAAAGAGGATGGATCTAGACTATTCTCAGTGATAGCAGATGACAGGACAAGGAGTAATGGTCTCAAGTTGCAGTGAAGGAGGTTAAGGTTGGATATTAGGAAAAACTTTTTCACTAGGAGGGTGGTGAAACACTGGAATGCATTACCTAGGGAGGTGGTGGAATCCCCTTCCTTAGGGGTTTTTAAGGTCAGGCTTGACAAAGCCCTGGCTGGGATGATTTAGTTGGGATTGGTCCTGCTCTGGGCAGGGGGTTGGACTAGATGGCCTCCAGAGGTCCCTTCCAACTCTGTTATTCTATGATTCTATGATAGGCCTTGGTCAGCAATAATATGAACTGCACAGAAAGATTAAAAGAAGATGTGCAACCAGAAACCATGATCTCCAGGCTCCTAAACCAGTGAAGCTTCCCATAGGCCAAAGGGTATTCTGTACATGATGTCTCCCTTTCTCATGACTGACGTACTTTTGTGGGCAGGTATGACAGGACTACCAGATGTGTGACATTATGCAGGTCTGACAGTAGAGTCAATGAGATGAAAATCTATGTACACTGAGTCCCCCTCCTGGCAGCCCAGGGCTCTTTTAAATCGAGGTACAGACACAAACTGATGCATCTTATAACTGAGGAGAATGAGAGACTATAACTTTGCACTTTAGGTCTGTAGCCTTTTGGGACTGTAATTTAGAAACTCACTGGCCATTTTCTTGTAGGCATTATGGTTCATGACAAATTAAATAAAAAAAATGTGTTATATTAAAAAGCAGTGATGGTGAGTTAGCTGATCAGTTTGCAGATTAACTGTGGGTTATTAACTTGTGGAGATTAACTGTGGGTTATTTTTCATTTCATTATTGGGTTTATTTTTGGTTTTTAATGTTTTGGGTATGGAATTAGGTGTAACCTCTTCCTGTAGTGCAACAGCCAAAAGATCCCTCTTCTAGTACAGCTCAGACATGGTTAGAAGTAACTAGGGAGCAGACAGAAGGCTGATTCTAGCAGCAGGCACTAGGCCAGGAAGGTTTAACGCTTGTTTGTGCTGTAAATTAGCAAATAACTCCCCAAGTGTGCGAGCACAGGGGTAGAGGGAGGGAAGAGAGACATAGATGGCTTTTTTCTTTTGCCCCTTTTAAATCCGTATTTTTTATATATAACCTTGCCTCTTCAATGAAATATTCTGATCTGTCATTTCTATTATTTTTATTGTGTTAACTTCACAATTGAAGTACCTGTGTGCTGTAAGCACACAATGAAATTACAGTAAACTGCTTTTACCACTACTTATATTTATTGGCCCAGCCAAGCGATGATGTCATAATAATACCTTATCTAACCCCTCCAGCATATAGTGTAAGAAATATATTTGGGTTGAGAGCAGTGACAGATTAGCCACTGGGTCAACAGGGCCCATGCCCAGGGGCCTTGGACAATTGGAGGGCCCTGGAAAAATGGGCACCCCTGCACCCTGCTCGGTGCTCCTGCCAGGGATTGGGGGAAGCCCCTGTACCCCGACAGGAGCGCATGATGGGGGGCGGGGCAGGGAAGCCCCTGCACCCTGACCCCATTTCCCTGGCAGGAATACCAGGGGGAGGGCAGAAGAGGGGGGACTGCAGGTGGAAGGAGTGAGGACGGGCCCCCACTTGCACTGGCCCAGGGCCCCACAAAACCGTAATCCTCCTTTGGCTGAGAGATAACATACTTTAACCCAAACATACCAATATTACTTTAGCCTTGTCTGCAATGATCTTCAGCTAGCCTTATCCAATACATAATCTCATGCAGACACCAGGTCATTCAATCTACTGCACTAGCATGGGAGTAGAAACTAAAATGTAGAGTACACTGAGCCCTCCGATTTACAAGCCTTCTCCCCACATCATCATATACATCTTGAACAGAAGACGTGACACAATAGAACCCTACATGAAAGTGTCCTTGGAGCAGATGAACAATTGCCGAAAACCACCACGTGAGGCTTCTCACAATGAAGAGCTCAGGATCCTAGTTAGAGAATATTCTCTTGTGAAATGTAAATGACATCCCTTTCATCTGACCCATCCGAATGTACCTTCAGTAGCACCAAGCGTAGCAAAACTTCGTATCCAAGCCCTTATTCACAATGGCGAGCATCTACTCACTCAAGTAGTTACATTAAGTTCCATAAGTTTCTCCCCAGGTTGAGAAAGGGCTTCACAGATTGGCCCACTGTGATTTTATAGTAAGGTAAAAGAATAATATATGAATCTTCTGAAACCACAAATGCTATTTTGCACAGACTCTCAGTAAAACTGGATATTCACCTGAAAAGATTAGCCCAAAATGATACATACATAACCAGAGTATATGACAACCTACAGGCTTCAAAACCTGAAACCACAATGCTAGCAGCACAAGGGTCTAGCTTACAGTAAAAACTGGGTAATTTAGATAATAGAAACAAACATAACAAACATGGTTTTAAACAACATTTAAACAAACATAAACAAACATGGTTCTAGACTATTCTCAGTGGTAGAAGAGGACAGGACAAGGAGTAATGGTCTCAAGTTGCAGTGGGGGAGGTTTAGGTTGGATATTAGGAAAAACTTTTTCACTAGGAGGGTGGTGAAACACTGGAATGCGTTACCTAGCGAGGTGATAGAATCTCCTTCCTTAGAAGTTTTTAAGGTCAGGCTTGACAAAGCCCTGGCTGGGATGATTTAATTGGGGATTGGTCCTGCTTTGAGCAGGCGGTTGGACTAGATGACCTCCTGATGTCCCTTCCAACCCTGATATTCTATGATTCTATGATAAAATTTAGCTGTTTGTGGGCTTTTGGGAGGGTGGGGGGCATGTCCTAAAAGCTTAACCCCCCATCATTTGAATTAAAATAGCTTTTGCAGACACCTCATGGGATGCTAGAGGACAATAAAATAATCACTGAAAGGGTCCATAGCTCCAAAGCCAGCACCCGAAGGCAAATAATGAGTTATTACTGCTAACACTTTTAATTGTTAGAATAGAATTAACATCCTAAGGACCTACACAGAGTAAAGGGGATGCTGAGTTCCGGGGCCAGAAGAGAATATTAATTACTTTTTCATGGACCATGCCGGATACTGCTGAGACTATGCTCCTGCATTAAGGGCATTGTAAGATTCAGCCTGAGAGCCTAAAAGTCCATCTTCAGAACCAGACAGACAACATTTTTGGAGTGATTTTTGAGTATTATGTAAGTATACAATGCAAAAGAGAGAGGAAGTAGTTTCTCCCACTCATATTATTATTCTGACACTAGTGTCCTGTTTCGGACAACAGTCTTTGCCAAGCAGTAGTAAAATTCTGGGGCTTTGCAAATCATCTTCCTAGCGGAGGAGAAGTCAGTACACAGAGTCTAGGTGGATTCTAAGGGTATGTCTACACTACGAAATTAGGTCAAATGTATAGAAGTCTTTTTTTAGAAATTGTTTTTAATATAGTCGATTGTGTGTGTCCCCACACAAAATGCTCTAAGTGCATTAACTCAGCGGAGTGCTTCCACAGTACCGAGGCTAGCGTTGACTTCCGGAGTGTTGCACTGTGGGTAGCTATCCCACAGTTCCCGCAGTCTCCGCCGCCCATTAGAATTCTAGGTTCAGATCCCAATGCCTGATGGGGCAAAAAAACATTGTCACGGGTGGTTCTGGGTATGTCGTCAGGCCCTCCCTCGCTCCCTTCCTCTGTGAAAGCAATGGCAGACAATCGTTTCACGCATTTTTTCCTGAGTTACCTGTGCAGACACCATACCACGGCAAGCATGGAGCCCGCTCAGCTCATTGTCACCGTATGTCTCCTAGGTGCTGGCAGACGGGGTACTGCATTGCTACACAGCAGCAGCAACCCATTGCCTTGTGGCAGCAGACAGTGCAATAGGCCTGAACACCATCGTCATTGTGTCCGAGGTGTTTCTGGCCGCCTCTGTAAGTTCGGTCAGGAGCGCCTGGGCAGACATGGGCGCAGGGACTAAATTAGGAGTGACTCAACCGGTCATTCGCTTTACTCCTGCAGGCAGTCCTATTGTACCATCTTATGGTGAGCAGGCAGGAGATGAGGATGGCTAGCAGTCCTATTGCACCATCTTCTGCCGAGCAGCCAGGAGATGTGGATGGCTTGCAGTCCTTCTGCACCGACTGCTGCCAGCCAAAGATGTAAAAGATAGATGGAGTGGATCAAAATAAGAAATAGACCAGATTTGTTTTGTATTCATTTGCTTCCCCCCTCCCTCCCTGCCTCCCTCCGTGAAATCAATGGCCAACAATCGTTTTGGTGAGGTCTGTCAGGGGCACCGTGAAAACTTTAATGGAGATTCAGTCCTGCCTGAAATACCAGAGGGAGGGATAGCTTACTGGGTTGAGCATTGGCCTGCTAAACCCTGGGTTTTGAGTTCAATCCTTGAGGGGGCCATTCTGTGTGACAGTTGTTTTTGTTTCTCCTTGATGTAAAGCCACCCCCTTTGTTAATTTTAATTCCCTGTAAGCCATGTCGTCAGTCGCCCCTCCCTCCGTCAGAGCAACAGCAGACAACCGTTCCGCGCCGTTTTTCTGTGCAGACGTCATACCACGGCAAGCATGGAGCCCGCTCAGATCACTTTTGCAATTAGGAGCACATTAAACACCATGCGCATTATCCAGCAGTATATGCAGCACCAGAACCTGGCAAAGCAAAACCGGGCGAGTAGGCGATGTCAGCGCGGTGACAAGAGTGATGAGGACATGGACACAGGCTTCTCTCAAAGCACGGGCCCTGGCAATGTGGGCATCATGGTGCTAATGGGGCAGGTTCATGCCGTGGAACACCAATTCTGAGCTTGGGAAAGAAGCACAGACAACGCATAGCGTTGCAGGTCTGGGACGATTCCAAGTGGCTGGAAACTTTCGCATGAGTAAGGGCACTTTCATGGAACTTTGTGACTTGCTTTCCCCTGCCGTGAGGTGCAAGAATACCAAGATGAGAGCAGCCCTCACAGTTGAGAAGCGACTGGCAATAGCCCTGTGGAAGCTTGCAACGCCAGACAGTTACTGGTCAGTCGGGAATCAATTTGGAGTGGGCAAATCTACTGTGCAGGCTGCTGTGATGCAAGTAGCCCACGCAATCAAAGATCTGCTGATATCAAGGGTAGTGACCCTGGGAAATGTGCAGATCATAGTGGATGGCTTTGCTGCAATGGGATTCCCAAACTCTGGTGGGGCCATAGACGGAACCTATATCCCTATCTTGGCGCCGGAGCACCAAGCCGGCGAGTACATAAACCGCAAGGGGTACTTTTCAATAGTGCTGCAAGCACTGGTTGATCACAAGGGACGTCTCACCAACATCAACGTGGGATGGCCGGGAAAGGTACATGACGCTCGCATCTTCAGGAACTCCGGTCTGTTTCAAAAGCTACAGGAAGGGACTTCATTCCCAGACCAGAAAATAACTGTTGGGGACGTTGAAATGCCTATCTGTATGTTTGGGGACCCAGCCTACCACTTAATGCCATGGCTCATGAAGCCATACACAGGCAGCCTGGACAGTAGTCAGGAGCTGTTCAACTACAGGCTGAGCAAGAGCAGAATGATGGTAGAATGTACATTTGGATGTTTAAAAGCACGCTGGCGCAGTTTACTGACTTGGTTAGACCTCAGTGAAACCAATATTCCCACTGTTATTACTGCTTGCTGTTCCACAATATCTGTGAGAGTAAGGGGGAGACATTTATGATGGGGTGGGAGGTTGAGGCAAATCGCCTGGCCGCTGGTTACGCGCAGCCAGACACCAGGGTGGTTAGAAGAGCACAGAAGGGTGCGGTGCGCATCAGAGAACCTTTGAAAACCAGTTTCATGACTGGACAGGCTATGGTGTGAAAGTTCTGTTTGTTTCTCCTTGATGAAACCCCCCGCCCCTTGGTTCACTCTACTTCCCTGTAAGCTAACCACCCTCCCCTCCTCCCTTCGATCACCGCTTGCAGAGGCAATAAAGTCATTGTTGCTTCACATTCATGCATTCTTTATTAATTCATCACACATAGGGGGATAACTGCCAAAGTAGCCCGGGAGGGGTGGTGGAGGAGAGAAGCACCGGGAGGAGTGGTGGAGGAGGGAAGGACAAGGCCACACAACACTTTAAAAGTTTAAAGCTTTAAAACTTATTGAATGCCAACCTTCTGTTGCTTGGGCAATCCTCTGGGATGGACTGGCTGGGAGGCCGGAGGCCCCCCCACCGCATTCTTGGGCGTCTGGGTGAGGAGGCTATGGAACTTGGGGAGGAGGGCGGTTGGTTACACAGGGGCTGTAGCGGCGGTCTGTGCTCCTGCTGCCTTTCCTGCAGCTCAACCATATGCTGGAGCATATTAGTTTGATCCTCCAGCAGCCTCAGCATTGAATCCTGCCTCCTCTCATCACGCTGCTGCCACCTTTCAGCTTCAGCCCTCTCTTCAGCTTGCCACTTACTCTCTTCAGCCCGCCACCTCTCCTCCCGGTCATTTTGTGTTTTCCTGCACTCTGGCATTATTTGCCTCCACGCATTCGTCTGTGCTCTGTCAGTGTGGGAGGACAGCATGAGCTCGGAGAACATTTCATCGCGAGTGCGTTTTTTTTTCTTTCTAAGCTTCACTAGTCTCTGGGAAGGAGAAGATCCTGTGATCATTGAAACACATGCAGCTGGTGGAGAAAAAAAAAGGGACAGCGGTATTTAAAAAGACACATTTTATAAAACAGTGGCTACACTCTTTCAGGGTAAACCTTGCTGTTAACATTACATACATAGCACATGTGCTTTCGTTACAAGGTCATATTTTGCCTCCCCCCACCGCATGGCTACCCCCTCAACCCTCCACCCTCCCCGTGGCTAACAGAGGGGAACATTTCTGCTCAGCTACAAGCAAACAGCCCAACAGGAATGGGCACCTCTGAATGTCCCCTAAGAAAAGCACCCTATTTCAACCACGTGACCATGAATGATATCACTCTCATGAAGATAACACAGAGAGATAAAGAACATGTTGTTTGAACAACAAACATACACTGCAATGCTTTGTTCTACAATGATTCCCGAGTACGTGCTACTGGCCTGGAGTAGTAAAGTGTCCTACCGTGGTGGACGGAATAAGGCTGCCCTCCCCAGAAACCTTTTGCAAAGGCTTTGAGAGTACATCCAGGAGAGCCGCGAATGCCAGGGCAAATTAATCATTAAACACGTTTGCTTTAAACCATATATACTATTTTAAAAGGTACACTCACCAGAGGTCCCTTCTCCACCTGGTGGGTCCGGGAGGCAGCCTTGGGTGGGTTCGGGGCGGCGGGGGGGTACTGGCTCCAGGTCCAGGGTGAGAAACAGTTCCTGGCTGTCGGGAAAACCGGTTTCTCCACTTGTTTGCTGTGAACTATCTTCCTCGTCCCCAAAACCTGCTTCCATGTTGCCTCCATCTCCATTGAAGGAGTCAAACAACATGGCTGGGGTAGTGGTGGCTGAACCCCCTAAAATGGCATGCAGCTCATCATAGAAGCAGCATGTTTGGGGCTCTGACCCAGAGCGGCTGTTTGCCTCTCTGGTCGGCTTGCCTCAGCTCCTTAAGTTTCACACGGCACTGCTTCGGGTCCCTGTTATAGCCTCTGTCCTTCATGCCCTGGGAGATTTTGACAAATGTTTTGGCATTTTGAAAACTGGAACTGAGTTCTGATAGCACGGATTCCTCTCCCCATACAGCGATCAGATCCCGTACCTCCAGTTCGGTCCATGCTGGAGCTCTTTTGCTATTCTGGGACTCGGTCATGGTCACCTCTGCTGATGAGCTCTGCACTCACCTGCAGCTTGCCACGCTGGCCAAACAGGAAATTGAAATTCAAAAGTTCGTGGGCCTTTTCCTGTCTACCTGGCCAGTGCATCTGAGTTGAGAGTGCTGTCCAGAGCGGTCACAATGGAGCACTCTGGGATAGCTCCTGGAGGCCAATACTGTCTAATTGTGTCCACAGTACCCCAAATTCGATCTGGCAAGGCCGATTTCAGCGCTAATCCCCTTGTCGGGGGTGGAGTAAGGAAATCAATTTTAAGAGCCCTTTAAATCGAAAAAAAGGGCTTCGTTGTGTGGACGAGTGCAGGGTTAAATCGATTTAATGCTGCTAAATTCGACCTCAACTCCTAGTGTAGACCAGGGCTAAGTGTAATTTGCTTTATTTAGATACATAAACCAGTCCTGGAACAGAGACTATCATAAAGAGCATGCAGGTAATCCCTTTCTTCCAGAAATTTCAACTCACAAACCAGTAGACTGTTTGCAGAGAGTTTCTCTGTTCCACTAATGGTCTCCAAATATAGTGAATAAAGCAGAGAGCAAACTCTGCTATCAGTCACAGCTGCGCTCCAATGAATACTGAACCAAACGAACAACAATTCAGCATTCTTCAAATACTAGAGATTTGCTCACATACTAAGAAAAATAACTTAAGACAATGTGTAACAGCACCATCTGGTGCCTCCTGCCATAACATTATATATTTAACATTTCTACAAAGTGTTGTAAGAAAAGACAGACAGCAAGAAGAGAGAGAGGAAGAAGTTAGTGAATGAGGGATAACATAGGGTATCCAGAGGAAAGGAAAACATTCAACCTAAGGTTTCAGAGTAGCAGCCGTGTTAGTCTGTATCCGCAAAAAGAACAGGAGTACTTGTGGCACCTTAGAGACGAACAAATTTTTTAGAGCATAAGCTTTCATGGGCTACAGCCCACTTCATCGGATGCATAAAATGGAACATATAGTAAGAAGATATATATATATATACATACAGATAAGTTGGAAGTTGCCATACAAACTGTGAGAGGCTAATTAGTTAAGATGAGCTATTATCAGCCGGAGAAAAAAACTTTTGTAGTGATAATCAAGATGGCCCATTTAGACAGTTCACAAGAAGGTGTGAGGATACTTAATTTAGGGAAATAAATTCAATACGTGTAATGACCCAGCCACTCCCAGTCTCTATTCAAACCCAAGTTAATGGCATCTAGTTTGCATATTAACTCAAGCTCACCCAAGAGCAGACTACACATTTTTGAAAGCAGTAGATGCTCTAGAAGTACTTCAAAAAACACAAACTTGTTTGACAGGAGTTCTTTACTGAGGTAAGATAATGGAAACTTGATCCTCTGATATAAGATATGCAAGGAATTCCTGCTCTCCTCCTTACCAGTGCTTGTGGGCAAACTATTAAGCAGAAGTAGATAAACACAAAGAAAGTGGCCTGTGTCAACTGCATCATGTGCCAACAGAATTTTATCAATAAGAAGAGTATTATTTGCTCATTTGTAAAGTAACTTGCATTTGTATTAAGAACTCTACTGCACAAACATATAATAGTAACAGAAATAACATTAAAAAGAAACATTTTCCAAACAAACTTTAAAAAAATAGAAAGCATAATTCATGCATCAAATATGCATGCACATTTTGTATGAGTGTTCCATCAAGTAAGTTGTCCGGCTATACCATAAGGACAGGAGACATTACATATGGTTTTAATCAGGCCACAACTTTATTATTAGATGTCTTGGACTACCCAGCAGATAAAAGCGTACAGTGCAAGTAACCCCATGTTCATTTAATAACTTCTTGGGGGGCTTCCACAAGTCCTTACCCCCACCTTTTTCTATCCAGGTCTCCCCGCCAACCCATTCCTGGGACTTAGCCCACTTTAACGTGATGGTGATAAGAAAGGGGGGTTGGATCTCTGCAGTACCAATCACAGGAGTCCCCGAAGCTTCCCCCCCCCCCCCCATTCTGTTCCTTTAATCAACTTTTCCTTTCAAGTCCTTTACCAGGCCATTTTTATCCAATCACTATATACCTTCCCTATGGAGTACCCGCACTGGACATCCACCCCACTTATATAATGAGTTGCAACACATAGCCTACCTCCCTTCATGCCACACATGAACAAAGCCCTCCCTGATCCCACTGTGGGAAAGGCAAAAAAAAAACCAACTCCACCTAGGTCAAACTGGTCGTAAGGGAAAAATTCCATCCCCCCACTTAAAGGTGCAGTGTAATCATACTAGCAATGTGAATTTCAAAATCTAAGCACGTGAATAAAGACTATTAAGAATAAAGAAAATTATCAAGAATTTGCTCAATAACGATTAAGGGTATGTCTACACTACGGAATAAGGTCGAAATTATAGAAGTCGGTTTTTTAGAAATCGGTTTTATATATTCGAGTGTGTGTGTCCCCACAGAAAATGCTCTAAGTGCATTAAGTGTATTAACTCGGCGGAGTGCTTCCACAGTACCGAGGCTAGAGTCGACTTCCGGAGCGTTGCACTGTGGGTAGCTATCCCACAGTTCCCGCAGTCTCCGCTGCCCATTGGAATTCTGGGTTGAGATCCCAATGCCTGATGGGGCTAAAACATTGTCGCGGGTGGTTCTGGGTACATATCGTCAGGCCCCTGTTCCCTCCCTCCCTCCGTGAAAGCAAGGGCAGACAATCGTTTCGCGCCTTTTTTCCTGAGTTACCTGTGCAGACGCCATACCACAGCAAGCATGGAGCCCACTCAGGTAACCGTCACCCTATGTCTCCTGGGTGCTGGCAGACGCGGTACGGCATTGCTACACAGTAGCAGCAACCCCTTGCCTTGTGGCAGCAGACGGTACAGTACGACTGGTAGCCGTCATCTTCATGTCCGAGGTGCTCCTGGCCACGTCGGCTGGGAGCGCCTGGGCAGACATGGGCGCAGGGACTAAATTTGGAGTGACTTGACCAGGTCATTCTCTTTAGTCCTGCAGTCAGTCCTATTGAACCGTCTTATGGTGAGCGGGCAGGCGATACGGACTGCTAGCAGTCGTACTGTACCATCTTCTGCCGAGCAGCCATGAGATGTGGATGGCATGCAGTCCTTCTGTACCGTCTGCTGCCAGCCAAAGATGTAAAAGATAGATGGAGTGGATCAAAACAAGAAATAGACCAGATTTGTTTTGTACTCATTTGCTTCCCCCCCTCCCCTGTCTAGGGGACTCATTCTTCTAGGTCACACTGCAGTCACCCACAGAGAAGGTGCAGCGAGGTAAATCTAGCCATGTATCAATCAGAGGCCAGGCTAACCTTCTTGTTCCAATAAGAACGATAACTTAGGTGCACCATTTCTTATTGGAACCCTCCGTGAAGTCCTGCCTGAAATACTCCTAGATGTAAAGACACCCCCTTTATTGATTTTAGCTCCCTGAAGCCAACCCTGTAAGCCATGTCCTCAGTCGCCCCTCCCGGCGTCAGAGCAACGGCAAACAATCGGGCATCTGAGAGTGCTGTCCAGAGCAGTCACAATGGAGCACTCTGATGGGGCTAAAACATTGTCGCGGGTGGTTCTGGGTACGTATTGTCAGGCCCCCGTTCCCTCCCTCCCTCCGTGAAAGCAAGGGCAGACAATCATTTCGCGCCTTTTTTCCTGAGTTACCTGTGCAGACGCCATACCATGGCAACCATGGAGCCCGCTCAGGTAACCGTCACCCTATGTCTCCTGGGTGCTGGCAGACGCGGTACGGCTTTGCTGCACAGTAGCAGCAACCCATTGCCTTCTGGCAGCAGACGGTGCAATACGACTGGTAGTCGTCCTCGTCGTGTCCGAGGTGCTCCTGGCCACATCGGCTGGGAGCGCCTGGGCAGACATGGGCGCAGGGACTAAATTTGGAGTGACTTGACCAGGTCATTCTCTTTAGTCCTGCAGTCAGTCCTATTGAACCGTCTTATGGTGAGCGGGCAGGCGATACGGACTGCTAGCAGTCGTACTGTACCATCTTCTGCCAGGCAGGCAAGAGATGAGGATTGCTAGTAGTTGTATTGTACCATCTTCTGCCAGGCAGGCAAGAGATGAGGATGGCTAGCAGTCGTACTGTACCATCTTCTGCCGAGCAGCCATGAGATGTGGATGGCATGCAGTCCTTCTGCACCGTCTGCTGCCAGCCAAAGATGTAAAAGATAGATGGAGTGGGTCAAAACAAGAAATAGACCAGATTTGTTTTGTACTCATTTGCCTCCTCCCCTGTCTAGGGGACTCATTCCTCTAGGTCACACTGCAGTCACTCACAGAGAAGGTGCAGCTAGGTAAATCTAGCCATGTATCAATCAGAGGCCAGGCTAACCTCCTTGTTCCAATAAGAACGATAACTTAGGTGCACCATTTCTTATTGGAACCCTCCGTGAAGTCCTGCCTGAAATACTCCTTGATGTAAAGACACCCCCTTTGTTGATTTTAGCTCCCTGAAGCCAACCCTGTAAGCCGTGTCGTCAGTCGCCCCTCCCTCCATCAGAGCAACGGCAGACAATCGTTCCGCGCCTTTTTTCTGTGCGGACGCCATACCAAGGCAAGCATGGAGGCCGCTCAGCTCACTTTGGCAATTAGGAGCACATTAAACACCACAGGCATTATCCAGAAGTATATGCAGCACCAGAACCTGGCAAAGCGATACCGGGCGAGGAGGCGACGTCAGCGCGGTCACGTGAGTGATCAGGACATGGACACAGATTTCTCTGAAAGCATGGGCCCTGCCAATGCATGCATCATGGTGCTAATGGGGCAGGTTCATGCTGTGGAACGCCGATTCTGGGCTCGGGAAACAAGCACAGACTGGTGGGACCGCATAGTGTTGCAGGTCTGGGACGATTCCCAGTGGCTGCGAAACTTTCGCATGCATAAGGGCACTTTCATGGAACTTTGTGACTTGCTTTCCCCTGCCCTGAGGCGCATGAATACCAAGATGAGAGCAGCCCTCACAGTTGAGAAGCGACTGGCAATAGCCCTGTGGAAGCTTGCAACGCCAGACAGCTACCGGTCAGTTGGGAATCAATTTGGAGTGGGCAAATCTACTGTGGGGGCTGCTGTGATGCAAGTAGCCCACGCAATAAAAGATCTGCTGATATCAAGGGTAGTGACCCTGGGAAATGTGAAGGTCATAGTGGATGGCTTTGCTGCAATGGGATTCCCTAACTGTGGTGGGGCTATAGACGGAACCCATATCCCTATCTTGGCACCGGAGCACCAAGCCGCCGAGTACATAAACCGCAAGGGGTACTTTTCGACAGTGCTGCAAGCTCTGGTGGATCACAAGGGACGTTTCACCAACATCAACGTGGGATGGCCGGGAAAGGTGCATGATGCTCGCATCTTCAGGAACTCTGGTCTGTTTCAAAAGCTGCAGGAAGGGATTTTATTCCCAGACCAGAAAATAACTGTTGGGGATGTTGAAATGCCTATATGTATCCTTGGGGACCAGCCTACCCCTTAATGCCATGGCTCATGAAGCCGTACACAGGCAGCCTGGACAGTAGTCAGGAGCTGTTCAACTACAGGCTGAGCAAGTGCAGAATGGTGGTAGAATGTGCATTTGGACGTTTAAAGGTGCGCTGGGGCAGTTTACTGACTCGCTTAGACCTCAGTGAAACCAATATTCCCACTGTTATTACTGCTTGCTGTGTGCTCCACAATATCTGTGAGAGTAAGGGGGAGACGTTTATGGCGGGGTGGGAGGTTGAGGCAAATCGCCTGGCTGCTGGTTACGCGCAGCCAGACACCAGGGCGGTTAGAAGAGCACAGGAAGGCACGGTACGCATCAGAGAAGCTTTGAAAACCAGTTTCATGACTGGCCAGGCTACGGTGTGAAAGTTCTGTTTGTTTCTCCTTGATGAAACCCCCCGCCCCTTGGTTCACTCTACTTCTCTGTAAGCTAACCACCCACCCCTCCTCCCTTCAATCACCGCTTGCAGAGGCAATAAAGTCATTGTTGCTTCACATTCATGCATTCTTTATTCATTCATCACACAAATAGGGGGATGACTACCAAGGTAACCCAGGAGGGGTGGTGGAGGAGGGAAGGAAAATGCCACACAGCACTTTAAGCACAGCACTTTAAAAGTTTACAACTTTAAAATTTATTGAATGACAGCCTTCTTTTTTTGGGGCAATCCTCTGTGGTGAAGTGGCTGGTTGGCCGGAGGCCCCCCCACCGCGTTCTTGGGCGTCTGGGTGTGGAGGCTATGGAACTTGGGGAGGAGGGCGGTTGGTTACAGAGGGGTTGCAGTGGCAGTCTGTGCTCCAGCTGCCTTTGCTGCAGCTCAACCATACACTGGAGCATACTGGTTTGGTCCTGCAGCAGCCTCAGCATTGAATCCTGCCTCCTCTCATCACGCTGCTGCCACATTTGAGCTTCAGCCCTGTCTTCAGCCTGCCACTTACTCTCTTCAGCCCGCCACCTCTCCTCCCGGTCATTTTGTGCTTTCCTGCACTCTGACATTATTTGCCTCCACGCATTCGTCTGTGCTCTGTCAGTGTGGGAGGACAGCATGAGCTCGGAGAACATTTCATCGCGAGTGCGTTTTTTTTTCTTTCTAAGCTTCACTAGCCTCTGGGAAGGAGAAGATCCTGTGATCATTGAAACACATGCAGCTGGTGGAGAAAAAAAAAGGGACAGCGGTATTTAAAAAGACACATTTTATAAAACAGTGGCTACACTCTTTCAGGGTAAACCTTGCTGTTAACATTACATACATAGCACATGTGCTTTCGTTACAAGGTCGCATTTTGCCTCCTCCCACCGCGTGACTACCCCCTCAACCTTCCCCCCTCCCTGTGGCTAACAGCGGGGAACATTTCTGTTCAGCCACAGGCAAACAGCCCAGCAGGAATGGGCTCCTCTGAGTGTCTCCTGAAGAAAAGCACTCTATTTCAACCAGGTGACCATGAATTATATCTCACTCTCCTGAGGATAACACAGAGAGATAAAGAACGGATGTTGTTTGAATGCCAGCAAACATACACTGCAATGCTTTGTTCTACAATGATTCCCGAGTACGTGTTACTGGCCTGGAGTGGTAAAGTGTCCTACCATGAAGGATGCAATAAGGTTGCCCTCCCCAGAAACCTTTTGCAAAGGCTTTAGGACTACATCTAGGAGAACCGCAAATGCCAGGGCAAAGTAATCCTTTCACATGCTTGCTTTTAAACCATGTATAGTATTTTAAAAGGTACACTCACCAGAGGTCCCTTCTCCGCCTGCTGGGTCCAGGAGGCAGCCTTGGGTGGGTTCGGGGGGTACTGGCTCCAGGTCCAGGGTGAGAAACAGTTCCTGGCTGTCGGGAAAACCGGTTTCTCCGCTTGCTTGCTGTGAGCTATCTACAACCTCATCATCATCATCTTCTTCTTCGTCCCCAAAACCTGCTTCCGTATTGCCTCCATCTCCATTGAAGGAGTCAAACAACACGGCTGGGGTAGTGGTGGCTGAACCCCCTAAAATGGCATGCAGCTCATCATAGAAGCGGCATGTTTGGGGCTCTGACCCAGAGCGGCTGTTCGCCTCTCTGGTTTTCTGGTAGGCTTGCCTCAGCTCCTTCAGTTTCACGCGGCACTGCTTCGGGTCCCTGTTATGGCCTCTGTCCTTCATGCCCTGGGAGATTTTGACAAAGGTTTTGGCATTTCAAAAACTGGAACGGAGTTCTGATAGCACGGATTCCTCTCCCCAAACAGCGATCAGATCCCGTACCTCCCGTTCAGTCCAGGCTGGAGCTCTTTTGCGATTCTGGGACTCCATCATGGTCACCTGTGCTGATGAGCTCTGCATGGTCACCTGCAGCTTTCCACGCTGGCCAAACAGGAAATGAGATTCAAAAGTTCACGGTTCTTTTCCTGTCTACCTGGCCAGTGCATCTGAGTTGAGAGTGCTGTCCAGAGCGGTCATAATGGAGCACTCTGGGATAGCTCCCGGAGGCCAATACCATCGAATTGTGTCCACAGTACCCCAAATTCGAGCCAGCAACGTCGATTTAAGCGCTAATCCACTTGTCAGGGGTGGAGTAAGGAAATCGATTTTAAGAGCCCTTTAAGTCAAAATAAAGGGCTTCATTGTGTGGACGGGTGCAGGTTTACATCGATTTAACGCTGCTAAATTCGACCTAAAGTCCTAGTGTAGACCAGGGCTAAGAGAGGGACAGAGGGAATTGTTATAATGAAAACATGAAAAGCAGCATATTGCTGGGGAGGGAGTGTTAAGTTTCATTTAGTATGTAATGATTGTGTTTTTAGGTGAGGTAAAAAGTGTTGTGTGTGTATGTGACAGAACTATAAAGTGCTCATTTACTTAATTTCAAACTTTTCAATAACTTATTGCCAGAATATCTTTTCTCACTGTATGAAATATTCAAACTTTATACAGTAAATTCAACAGAGAATTCAATATAAATTTCAAGTCATTTTTATTTTCATTTATTTCTGTGTCCATCCAATGACTTTTCATTTTTGCATTTTCACTGAAAAAATATTATGTAATTTAGTGAGAATTTAACTGTTAATTGGTGTGTACTGTGCTTTGCTTTTCTCTAATACCCTAGGTAGGATACAGAAAGATTGAAAAATATCTAGGTCCTTTACAAATTCCAACTCCTCTTTGCCTTTCATGGATTCATGTAGAGGCCTATAATCCCTACATTATTTCTTATTGACTTGTTCAAGGCTCTTGAATTTATCTCCTTGATATTTTGTATTCTTAAGTAGTCCAGAGTCTTGCTCTCTAGCTTCTTATTATAATCCTTCAAGTCACTAATTCGCTCTCATCTTCAGCCTCTTGCATTGACATTTTTTAAAGTTGTTTGAAACTGGATATTGAAGTTAACAGGTTATCAGTCTTTATTCGTAATTATTTCTGGCCATTAGCAGCTTCAGCAAGTTGTATTATGGACAAGTGGCATTTAAGGTTGTCTATTTAAGGTTAAAACTGAGGTATATTATACACCTTATTTTAGCTCACATCCACATCCCCAAAAACTTTGGCTAGTAAAGTTAGTATGACCTAAGATTTGCTAAGTTTACTCTGAAGTCGAAGAAGAATCCATTATTATTAGCTAAATCAGAAAAAAACTTACATTTTTGAGCTACAGTATATTAAAAATTACAAATCGAAATTAGCATCTTATGTTTCTCTGTGTCCTTCATGCTTACTAAGCGTAAGTTACCCTTTAAAACTGCTCCAATAGTTAGCTCTCTTTAAACTTGTGCATTAGCTACATTTGAAGAAAATGTGTTGTATTTAAATTGAAGTCATTAACTATTTATCTAATTACATTATCTACAGCTTATAATATAGTAGCACAGGGACCTCACACAGAATTAGGGCCCCACTTGCTATGTGTTCTTAAAACACATAGAAAGATGCAGTCCCTGCCCCAAACCTTATAGTCTAAGTGAAATAAGAAGAGCGTGGAGAAAGATATAATGAAACAGACAGTTTTTGATATATGTTTGCCTTTTTAAATATTATAAAATAGGTTAAGTTAATGGCAACCATCCCTTATTTTGTCCCTAAACTAGTGTTCAAAGAAGATCAAATTAGGATAGGGAAGCTCACCAGTTTTGTTGGCTGCCATAACAGGTGTTCACTTTATGTGGTGACAAAGTATCAGTATTAAAGCTAGTCAATACTTTTTGTGGAAATATTTTTTCAATGAAGTGTGGACTTTTTTTTGAAAATGAAAAGTTTTGTGAAAAATTCTTAGAAAATAAAACTTTGAAAATGTTTGTTTTTTGAAATCCACCAAAAACTATTTTTGTTTATTCATTCAAAATCCAGAAAAGTCCCTAAAAATATTAAAAGAAAATGAAACTGTTAATTTCTGTTACATTTTTTTCAAAAAAAGTTTACCCTTTTTTAATGCCCGTAACCATAAAATCTGAGTACCTATGTATTCAAAAAATATATCTGAATGGAATTAATGTCCTTAAGCATAAGCCACAATAAAATAAGCGCGTGTGTCTGTGCGCGCGCACGCACGCAGATGTATGTGTGTGTTATACTCACCCTCATTTCCATAAGTGCACCATTTAGACCTGACCAAGATGGAGAATCTGTATTGATGTAAAAATAGGCAAAAATAGGGAATTTTTGCCCTGTAACATTTTGAAATATTCTATGCATTTTCCTGAATTTTACAAGATTTTAGGGCATGTATTTCTGCATCTTTTCCTTTGAAGGGGTTGGGCAGCTAGCAGAGTATCATTGTTCTTTAGAAGAGGGGGACATGGAATTCCTGGGCTAAGACATCTTTTCATCTGATTGGTTATGTTACTGATTCACCTACTCATAGAAAGGGTTGGAGGCCACAAAACTCTTCAGATAGATTCAAAGTCCTCACCCTCTCCAGCTAACAAGGAGAGGAGCTCCCACAAGATCGGAAGAGGGAGAAGAGTGGGAGCTCTCCTACTACATTTAGAAGAAGGGGAGCTGCACCACTCATATCACCGTACTTAAATTTTACCTAGCCATCATTAGTAGGCTGATTTCTTGAGATGGGGCACAAAGAGAGATTTGAAGTAGAGAGCAGTGGTTATAATATAACAGTTTGCTCACTGTTGGCTGCACTTCAGATAGAACTTTCTACACTTAACTCTGAAAGAATTTCCCTGAGCTCAGTCATAGATGGTCAATGTTTTTGAGTTAAAACATCAGGCTTTCCTTCTTTACTGTGCAGGTGTTTGTGATTTACCTAGTAATTATGTGATTCTAGTAATGGATTCATTTTAGAATGGCACCCAACTGTTTTTTTCTGTAAAGTAAAAAGAAAACTGTTCAGACTGCTTATGAGTTATAGATAGTTTAAAATGACCCTGAACACAGCCATCCAGCAGCTGCTACATAAGTTATGTTTCCAGCCAGGGTTCCAAAGAAAGCTCTAGAATCACTCCCCTTAATTTCACACAAGAAAAATATTTTTGATTATTTCAAGTTACTCTACAAATGTTTTGGAATAGCCTCATTTGTTCAAAGCATTTTGAAAGTTACTGATGCTTAAAAATGATACTTTAAAACATTTTACTGAAGTGTCACACAGTTTTGGGTCCCTCTCAGTGAAAAATTCTGTGACTAACACTTGAAACTTTCCATCCAGTTAATGTATATAGGACAGCATAAAACTGAAATATTTTCTAAGACTTATCTGGCATAGCAATATATATTTTATAGAATCTGCATGGCCTGACAGGTCCTTTATGAAGTCTCTGAAGAGCAAGGAAAAACCAAAGCCCTTGAGATTGCTCCTGAACTCCACAGGCAAGGCACAGGGAGCTGGGGAATTTGTGGGAATCCAAAGTTCTGATGTATCAAGAGGCAGAAGGAGCAGGGCAACCTGCTGAGCTCAGGAGCTCTGCAGAGTAGTGGTACCTGTGGAAGACAGGAGGCTACAGAGAGAGAAAATGAAAAAGATCTATCCCATTTTGGTGATCTATCTGTAATGTGTCAAACAGAGTCGGAGCTCCAAAGTATTCTGGGCATGACCAGTGGCAGTAGCTCCTAAGAGAATGAGTAGAGAAACACCAAGCTAATCAAGGCTCTGATTGGATACCAATCTTCCAGTCAATAGGGTCTATTTTCCCAGACATTTACAAAAAATAAATGTTAATAGCTCAACAGGTTAATAGCTCAATAGGTGATCCATTTGCCCCTAGGGCCTGCCAATGTATGAGCTCTGTCTCAGAAGGAATGTATACTTTCATCCCAAAGAGCAATCTGACTGATTTTCAGATTTTCATTATTGAAGAGTGACCTATTACTGTAATCAATGACTTCAATAACCTTAGAAGTTCCTACATGAAAATCCTGAGAATCAAGAAATTACTTAGCTTTTGTTACTGGCTAAGTCAGGTTTGAACCCCAGTCTTTAGAAGTATTCCAGTATGCCACTTACCTTCCCCAAATCAGCTTTTATATTTATACACTATAAATTTCACTCAGTTTAAACCGAAAATAAACTAGAGGGTTGCACACTTAGTTGCTCCTCCATTCCCCCTGACAAGCATTCTGTGTGCCACCCCCTCCCATCGCTCTCTATTTCAGGGACTCCCTATACCCTCCCTCATGCCAGGGATCTGTGTCCTGCATGTCCCTCTCCCCAAAGTCATTGTCCCCCATGCTCCCCTCCCATGCCAGGAGCTGTGTGCTTTCCATTCTCCCCTTTTCCCCCATACCAGGGTCCTCCATTCTCACCATCACCAGTAGTTCTGTGTGCCCCCTATTCCCCTCTTCCCCCTACACCAGGGAATCTTTGTGTCCCCATTCCCCACACTCACTTTGAGAGATGAGTCGTTTAGGGGGTCAACATGTTAAACTGTATTGAGAGGATAGGCACAGCTGAAATGGGGAGGTACTTTTATGCTGGAAGGTATAAATGGCTGCCATCAACTGGCTCTTTGAACTGTAGACAGTTTCAGGAGTGGTTTAAACTGCTAGCTTTGCTAACCTGACGCAAAGGGCTCTGTGTCCCCCCTCCCACATTTCCCTGGTTTGTTTTTCTAATTTTCACCAAAATCCATAGAGTTCTGCCCATTGATGCCCAGAACATACCTGAAATTTTGGACTTGATTGAATGCAACATTGAAAAGTTATCATGTTACAGATGGAGAAATGCTGCTGATTTGAGTATAAAACCTCACTTCGCTCAGCCCAAAAACAACATGTCCAAATATTTTCAGGTTTAGATTACAGTACATTTTCTATTCAAGCAAAAACTAAAAAGAACGCTATGTTGTGAGAGTTCTATGCTGTTTCCAAATGACATTGTTCTGTAATTCGCTAGAATTTAAAATTACACATTTGATAATTGCATATGAAAATTGCTAATGTCATACAAAAGAAAGCAAAAGAAATGCAAGTGAAGGTTATGTAACTTGCATAATCACTAACACCTTCTTAAATTTAAATAGGTCGTTCTAAGAACTGAAAAAATCTAAGGTGAATTGAAAATTCAACAAATGAAAACCAGTGCCAAAACTTTAAAAAGAGTACAATTTTCAGATCCGATCTCTATTATTTAATGTTATATGCTTCAAACTTGCTTGGGATTATACAAAAGAGAAATATGAAAATAGACCGTGCCCCAAAGAAGTGACAGTCTAAAAGATCTATATATGAATAGTCACATGGAGA